ATATATATATATATATATAAATATATATATAATATATATATATATATTTATTTACAATAGGCGTCTCATATTTTTGACCTTTGTTGTTTTGTGTTGCAAGATGTATCTTTAGTTGAGTTTGTAATATTTTTAAAATTGTATATTAAAGTATATTGACCTAAATAAAATGAATAATTTAATTTATAATTATTAAATCATATACTCTAAGGTTGTACAATGGAAACTAATATAGAATCAAAATATAGTGTAGATTAATAATCAATTTTTATACCATATTATAGACTTGTGTAATTATTGAACTCGTTGAAAACGCGTGTGAAACGATTGATGATTGAGGTCGCTAGAGCTGCACTTCACTTTTTCCATATGAAACCAGCACCAGGCCTGGGGAAGCGCGTCAATTTGAGACTGATTTTGTACCTTATCTAGGCCTAATACATCCCTGTTGACGGTATGCATAATACGAGTGGATATTTATAGTAATATGTTTACTTTAATTAAGTTATTTGTTATTTGCTGGTCAAGCTAGGCTAGGGGGAAGGTTTGGTTATGTGCGTGGTGCGTGTTTGGTGGCGGTGGAGGAGGATCGTGCGGTTGGGTTGGGGGTGAGCAGGTACTTCAGCTTCGCCTAAAAAATATGTCAGCCTGGGCCTGCCTAGTCCAGGATGTAACTGCTTATGCTAGAGTACAGTACGCTAGGCCTCCCTATCTGGACCTAGGCTAAGCAAGACCTTGCCAGCGTGCAAGCAAATTTGTATTTTGTATTGAAAATATATTTTGCTGATAAAACTGATACAGACACTGATGAAAAAGAATTATTGAAACAAATTATTTATTTTGACTGTATGTAGGCCCTAGGTTATAGAAAACCTAGTCCAGGCCTAGACCTTAGCTAGCTACCACACTGTAAGTGTAAAGTTTTTTAATTGTGTAGTGGAGGATATCTACAAATATCAGCTCATATTTGTTGCGGAAAATCGCTGGGAATAGGCCTATATAAATAGGTGTGTGGAATCATAAATTGCTACATAATTGCATTGGTTATATATTAAGGTTTTGTCAAAGCCTAATTTCAGCAAAATCTGTGCAGAAATCGCCCCTTATTTTCCAAAATGCGAGGACAGATTTCTAGGCAGGCCTTACTATACAGTATGGGTTAGCTATACACTTTGTATGAAACTTACTTACTGTATACCACTTACTTACTATGACTAGGAAATGTTCTCATATCACCCCGATTCTAAAAACCCTCCATTGTCTTCCTGTCAGCCAAAAACTGAAGTTCAAGATCCGTCTTCTCAGTTTCAATTCCATAAATGGCCTACAGCCTTCGTATCTTTCCTCACTTGTCCATCTCCAAACTACTTCTCGGCCAACCCTTTCTTATTGTAACATGCTTTGTGTTCTACTTCACGTGTCAGACATGTATGTACTGGCGAGCAATCTTTCTTTTTCTCAGCTCCTTCACTTTGAAATTCGCTCCCTGCTGATCTTCGTAATACCACTTGTCCTCAGTTATTTTTTACTCAAAACCTACCTTTTTTTGTAATTTTCATTAATCAGTTCATAGGATTCTGCTGCTTTTTTTTTCAATTTATCTCCTAGCGCCGGTGGCAAGTTATTTTTTTAAACTTTAATAGACGCTAGTAAGTTTTATTGCATTATTAATTTTTACTAAGAGCTGATAGATCCTATAATTGTTAGCGGATGCTACTTTTGAGTGTGCTTTTTCAGACAAGCATGCAACAGGTGGATGCAAATCTATAATAATTTCAGTGGTCTGGAAAGTAAACATAAGATAATTAATTTCACCTATTTTTTTTTTTTTTTTTTTCAGCAAGACTAAACACATTTAAATTCTTGTGTCGCAGAGGTAAGAGAAAAGAAGCAAGATGGATGCAGATTTGTACGATGAGTTTGGTAATTACATTGGACCTGAACTGGAAAGTGATTCAGAGGAAGAAGATGACGTTGAATCCGCATTTCCAGACCCTGATATGGATGATGTAAGCTTTTTGCATTTGGTGCATCTCTTTTGATGACTGGTGTACCACATTCACAGTAGGCTCTTCAATTCTGTTCAGTGCAAAACAACAACATTTATTCTCTTCCTTTTTATTATTTCTATTATGATGAATACTCTAGTGTTTGTCATCCTCAGATGGGTAATTTAAAAAGGCAAAACAAAACCATGTCTATAATTTATTTATTGAAACTTTTTTTAAGTATCAGAAGAGGGCGAAGAAATGAAACCTTAAAATTGTTCTTATTATTTAGGAAAATAATTCTACCAACAGTGGTTTGGTATGTTCACAGTTAAAATATTACAAGATTTTTATAATTATGGTCATATTCTATACTGTATTCTAATATCATAATTGCCTTTTCCCAATGAGGAGTTGTTTGAATATGTTTTGTAGGATGATGATGCCGATCACATGGAACATGAGCCTGTAGCGCCCACACAGGCAGTGGTTTTGCATGAGGACAAGAAATATTACCCAACAGCTGAAGAGGTGTATGGACCTGATGTAGAAACGCTCATACATGAGGAGGATGCACAGCCCCTAACTGGTAAGGACAAACGACCTAAATTTCTATCCACACTCTGAAATTTTATGTGACAAATATGGATGTGGTATTACACCATCATGCCCATATGAGCAATTCACACTAATTCATCACACCAAAGTTGTTAGCGTAGATAGAGCTTAATACAGAATCTTACAGATTAAAGTGATAGTAGTACGGACAATGCCGTAGCCAGCTATTGGGACAGTTGGGAGTGGGTCAGTCCTACACAATTTTTCCACTGAGTCCACAAAGAATGGGTCCACATTTTAAAAAATGTGTCTAAACTATGCTGTTTTTTGCACAAAATGATTCCACTTTTTGAAAAATGGGTCCAGATTTCTCATATTTTGCAGAAAATGGATCAACTTCGAAGAAAATGGTCCAGATTATTTAGATTTTTGAGTAAAATGGGTCAACCTTTAAGAAGATGGGTCCACATTATTTGAATTTACGTGTAAAGTAGGTCCACCTTAATATAGTCCCGCACTGTTTGAAAATCCTGGCTACGGCATTGAGTACGGACAAAACAATTTTACATTATAATGTTGCAGAAATTTTTGATTAATGGAGAGATTATGAAAACAATAGAGGTGGTGATGTTAAACGGTTGACATTTGCTGGCGGAAGAAAGGACTGTAGAGTGGCAGTTGTTACCAAAGATGTGCTATATATGAGGAATTAACAGATGGAAGAGAGAAAGACCAATCAGAAGTAATCATAAACAATACTTTCCCTTTTTTTCTTAAGAACCAATCGTTGCTCCAGTTTTGAAGAAGAAATTCACAATGACTGAGCAAGAACTGCCAGCCACTGTATATAACATGGAGTAAGTAGATATTTACATGACTGGGCTCTTATAGTAAGTAAAAGCACAAATTTAACTCATGTGTTAAAGTCATTCCCACATGCAGTGGACATGGTTTGTGCAACGGTTGTCTCAGACTGCTAAACTTGAGGTCGGTGGTTTGAAACCTTCGCTGTATCAGTTACTTGTCTCTGTAGGCAAGACACTTTATCTACCTTTGTATCTCTGTACCCAGGAGTTTCAAGGGGTACTGGTATATGGTGAGAATAGACCTATGTGGGAGGGGTGGCAAATGTTTATGAGAGAGCAATTGGCACTTCAGGCTTGTACTGTAAGCCCCCGATCACATGTTTTTGCTTCACCATTTTGTTTACTGCCCACATATATAAATAGTTCAATGAAACAAGATTCGTTTGTGAAAGTAGAGGGTGCCAATTTTTCAGTTCTGCAGGATGGATATTATTAACATGAGAATTTTAAAGTGATTACAGTATATTCTTTTTTAAGAAATGCTCAAATTGAGAATAAGTTTCCTGAAAATGTTATATTAATAAATATGATTGAAATACATATCATTTTGAGGGACAATTATGATGAAGTTTCAGAATATAGCATATTTATTTTTCATGTAGATTGATTAGTATTGCATGATTATGTTAATTATATATTTTCACGTTGTAGATATTTGGCAGATATGATGGATAATCCAGAGTTGATTAGAAATGTCACTCTTGCTGGTCATCTTCATCATGGCAAGGTCTGTAAACCAATTTATCTTACTCTAATTTGGGTATGGGTAGTCAGTAAAATACTGGTAATCATGAAAAAAAAAGCCAGAAATATAACATCTAATTTGCAATATAGCGTATATTGTATGTTATTACTCCCATTCATTTGAGAAAGCATTTAGCTGACTGGGGATCAGCGCTTGGTATTGGATCCTAACTAAATTAAGTCACTTCATACTCATGGATCAATAGAGACAGTGTGGGTACTTGCCTAGTGTTGAAATCCCCAACCATAACGATCTGGTCTCCAGACTTAGATCTTTTATTAGATCTTCTATTTTCAAATCCCATTAACAGACTTTGTTGGTTTTTTTTTAGACAACATTTGTTGACTGTATGATGGAACAGACTCATCCCGATTTGCTCTCATATGAAGACAAAGACGTAAGTTTTATTGAAAAAGATTGTATTGTTATGTTTGAAGGTTTTTATTTAATTTTTCTTTCTTGCAATATTGTTTATTATATACAAGTCTCCCTCCAGTTAAAGACCACCTTTGAGACCAAGGTTTCCATGGTCTTTGGCAGCTTTGGTCTCTAATTAGAATAATAAAAATAAAAGACATTTGTTAATTTGGGACCACAGAAAAGTGGTCTTTAATTAGAGGTGGTTTTTAATTAGAGGGAGACCTGATGTAGTATTATCCTGGAATACGTATAAAACAATATTTTGATTTTATATTATTTGTATTATCTTTTTACAGCTCAGGTACACAGATACATTACTTACTGAGTTAGAGGTAAGATAAATTTATAGAAGAAAATGATTCTGTTAAGGCAAAAGCTTGTATTCTATAACTTTTGTCTGAAAAGAAGGTTTCTGTTCGTTGATATATTTATACAAATTACTGGTGTCGATAATGTTAAATTATATCCATTTTCAGTATGATAGTAAAATATTTATTGTTATTATTATTGTCGTCGGCATCATTTTGTTATGTTATTATTTTTATTGTTATTTTTCTGTATACTGTTGTCTTTGCTATTTTAATTTTTCTTAGCATTACCATTGTCCATAGCCTCACTTATTCTTCATATTACAAACATTCTAGATCTATTATCTTATGCTTTCCTCAAGTGTTTTCCTCAAGTGTCTAATTTTAGAATAATTTTTATAGCGTGGTGTGAGTATTAAGTGTCAACCAGTGACCTTACTGACCCCTGACATCAAAGGCAAGAATTTCTTGATGAACCTTATGGATACACCAGGTAGGAATTATCAGAATAATATTTTTTCATCCAATTAAAGAGTTATCAAGATCCAATAACAAGTGTGATATTTTACCAGTTTAAATCAGATTTTCATTTTTTTAAGATGCTTCTTTTACACAAACTGGTTTTAATTATTGACTGCAGGTCATGTCAACTTTTCTGATGAAGTAACCGCTGCATTCAGGGTGTCAGATGGTGTTGTCATCTTTATTGATGCAGCAGAGGGCATGATGCTAAACACTGAAAGACTCATCAAGCATGCAATACAAGAGAACCTGGCACTCACAATATGCATCAATAAGATTGATAGGCTGATACTGGAATTGAAGCTACCCCCTACTGATGGATATTACAAACTAAGGAACATTATAGATGAGGTCAATGGCATATTAAGGTATGTAACATAGAATAACTATTAACTACTATTCTTTATATTGTCCACCATACAACTATGTATTTAAATGTTCATATTCTCTATTTAAATTTTGAAGACATTGCTAACCGGAACCTTCCTCCCCAAAATTGACTACAACAATAACACTAACAATAAATTTTCATAGCAGCTATGCCACAATTCAAGGCTTTTTCATTTTGCTTATTTATCAATAACTGGATGTACAAAGTTTCCTTTTCTAGACCTTTGACATGTTCACCAAATAATAACTATATTCTTGTATGATTGATTTCATGTGACAGTATATTGTGCATTTATAATCAACCACCGCCGTACAGCGAAATTTGTTAGGTTCGCTGTGTGCGTTCAGAGCTTGGCATAGCAACGCAATATTCATCAAATGTAAAACAACCCCAGCTTTGAGATTTTTACACACGAGACACCAAAAATATCAGGCACTATATCGAATTAGTGCCTCCTCAGAGAAAATTGCGTGCAAATGAAAATGATGACATCACAACTGACTTTTAATTACTAGAGTATCATTTAGTTTTGAGCACCTCTTGAAAGTGTGTGATACTAAATGTTTGGTTATTAAGCTAGTAACACTAAGTAAATACTACTTTATCATAATACTTTTATTTATTCCACTAGTATGTACTCTGATGACACAGAGGACTTGCGGGTTTCTCCATTACTTGGAAATGTTTGCTTCGCCAGCTCCAAATATGGAATTTGTTTCACATTATCCTCCTTTGCAAAGATCTACACTGAAAGCTATGGAGATGAAATAGAGTATAAACCATTTGCTAGGCATCTTTGGGGAGACATGTATTTTAACCCCAAAACGTAAGTACTAAATCATCTTGTTAAATTGCTCAGTTCTCTGCAATTTTTTGGTTGAAAAATAAATACTCTTCAAAGAAATATTGTGCAAAAACACAAACTATATACCAACAATTTTAGTCTAGATTCAGCGTGCTATTTTTCGCTTATTATGTTTCTACAGACGTAAATTCACCAAGAGACCGGCTGCCAGTACATCGCAACGCAGCTTCGTTGAGTTTATTCTCGAACCAATGTACAAATTATTTGCCCAGGTTAGTTATTCAATTATTCTCAAACTAAAGCATTAAGTTTTGTTAAGTGAGATCACATATGTATGTATTTTGTTTTTGGCATTGACATTTTATATATCAGCAAATTTAGTTCTTACATAAGTAATAATGATGATAATAATGCTTTGATTTGTTGACCCATATGATTATTTCTCACCAGTAGCTTCCAATCAAGTAGCCAATGTCTACATCACCGATGATGTAATGGTGACGGGTGCGCTCTGCGATTTTGCGCAGCAGAACATTCATTCTGGGCCCCCTCCTCTTGGGACTGGGGGTTCGTGTAGGAGGTCGTCGAAGATGTGGGACAGTTTGTACGTTCCTTCGTCCCTGTTCATGGTGGTGTTGTTGCGTTTTATCCACATAGCTTCTCTAAACTTTTTTTTTCATTTTCCTTGTCTAATAACTTGGTATTTATCCAGTCTGGGGTGTGATTCAAACAGACCATATGGTCAGTGATGGCCGATTTGTGTATAGTATCAGAGATTAAGCTCTAGTACGTACTCCACTGAGGTGTTGATACGGACCTCTGTTTTTTTGTTCTTCTAATCTGAACTTGAATATCTTAATTAGTTAATATTAATATTAATGATAATTATATTAATGTGTTATTAATAATTATATTATATTTAATGTGTTATTAACAATTATGTCTGTTAATTGGCAATTTTTTTTTTTTTTCAAAAAACCTGATAAACAATGTAATGCCTAATTTATTTTTCAATTTATTTTTAGATCAACACAGACATTATATCTTTAATATTTTAATATATATGTTTCTGTATCTATGTAAATTGCGGTTAAGATGTTATTTTTGTCTTTGGTTTTATTGCAGGTTGTGGGTGATGTTGATACTACCTTGCCAGGTGTGTTGGATGAGCTTGGTATTCATCTAACAAAGGAAGAGATGAAGCTAAACATCAGGCCCATCTTGAAACTTATCTGCTCCAAATTCTTTGGTGATTTCACTGGTATGATTCCCTTATTTAAATCCATCTTAGGTTTCCGTGTTGTATCAAACTATAGTGTTCATAACTGACAATAGGTGTACACAAATTTCTCTAAAACCCAAGGGTGTATTACGATGAATCTTTGCATACAGGGATCATGCTAAAGTGCAATTCTGCGCTATATATTTTAAATCTAATTATTTCAATTTCTTGTAGGATTTGTCGATATGTGTGTTGAGCATATCCCATCACCAGTAATGGCAGCTAAGAATAAAGTGGAACATGTATACACAGGGCCGAGTGATTCTGATCTGGCTGAGGCTATGATTGATTGTGATTCAGAGGTAATGAACCTATTTAATGTCATTGCCATACTGATGATAGTTAAGCCAGCATAAAATATAGTGTACACTTTCAGACTTGCTTTGATAGTGTATTTATTTATTATGGTGTTTATTTATTCATGCAAAACCCATCAGTGAATAAGACAACATTACATAGTTGCAATAACAATTGCAGGAGTCTCCCAAAATTGGTAAAGGCCTCCCGCAAACAAAGAATAATCTCCCTGAAAGTAACCCATCTCCCGAAAATTCACTATATTTTGTTTTCACATGTTTTTTACCAATTTCCTCCCGGGAGTCAGTGCCATTGGGTAACACCATACACAGCAAAATATAATTAGATGTGTTAAGAAAACTCCTTTAAATTAGATCTCCTAGATGTTGATTCTTCCAACTTGGACCCCTGCAATGAAATTGCAATATAAACTAAATTAAATTAGATGCTTGTTTCAGATTTAATATTAAACAAATCATGTGTTTTTTCTGCCTGCCTGAGTAGTGCAATGCTTTATGACATTTGACAAAGTCTGATTAGCAATAATATTTTTTTCAGGGACCATTAATGCTGCACACAACCAAGATGTACAGTACAGAAGATGGGGTCAGCTTTCATACTTTTGGGCGGGTGATGAGTGGAACGATCCATTCCAACCAGGAGGTAAAAGTGCTCGGGGAGAACTACTCATTGGACGATGAAGAAGATTCTCGAATCACTTTAGTAGGACGCCTTTGGATAGCAGAAGCTAGGTAACATTTTTATTTTTTCCACATATATTTTTTAATTGTATTTTTGGAAGAATTTTGTATTTTTACTGGTGTGTAGTATGTTACCTGTAACATTTACTGGTGTGTAAAATGTTACCCAATGTAAAGGTGATAAACAAACAACAACACACACAGTAATTATTTAATCAGAGATTTAATTAGAGCCATAAACAAAATCCAAGTAGGTTTACTAGAAACCTAACATAATATGAATAAATTAAATGCTTTGTAATTTGTAGGTACAAGATTGAGGTGAATCGTGTACCAGCTGGTAATTGGGTTTTACTAGAAGGCGTAGATGAACCTATCGTGAAAACATCCACAATAACAGAATGCAAAGGTGTTGAGGAGGTAAGTCCATCTTCAGATTTCTAGAGTCTGCTTTTACAGAATATTAATACTACAGTTCTTTAATAAAAACACTTTGATAACACATCATTAATTGGTAATTTTGTGTATATCCAATCAGCTTTTCCATAAACAGGGATTTTAGAGGCGTCATTGTACACATTATTAGGTAGCAATTAACCAGGGAACATCTGCACCATTGTTTAATCGTTCATGTTTTCTAGAATTGCCACCTTCTTGATTAACCTTCTGTTTTATTTGTATAAAACAACTGCAGGCACACATATTCCGGCCATTGAAGTTCAACACAAGTTCAGTGATCAAGATTGCTGTAGAGCCTGTAAACCCTTCTGAGTTACCAAAAATGTTAGACGGACTGCGCAAGATCAACAAGAGCTACCCGTTGATCACGACCAAAGTTGAGGAGTCTGGAGAACATGTAGTGATGGGTACAGGAGAACTCTACCTGGACTGTGTCATGCATGACCTTCGAAAAATGTACTCTGAGATAGGTACAAACATTTTTTCTATTATAACTTATATAGTTTATACAATTATGATATAAAAAAAATGTCTTTTTTAACCTACTAAAGAGGGTGAAGGTATTTTCAAAATGACATCAGAAAGTAATATTTATTTTGTCATCTATGTTATAGCTGACTGACTTGTCAATTTTTCTTGAAATTTTGTTGTATTCTTTTCTGTTATCATTTGTCCATTATTATATTTTCCTATATCTTTTTAAATTGTTCAATTCTATTTAGACATCAAAGTAGCAGATCCTGTAGTATCATTCTGTGAGACAGTCGTTGAGACATCCTCTCTAAAATGTTTTGCTGAAACACCAAATAAAAGGTAAAATCTAGTTTGTTAATTGAAGAAAGTGTGTCAAAGTTCAGTTCAATAAACCAACAATCAAGGCTTATACCATCTCTTGCATTTTTACAAAGTGTTATTACCTAACAGTTATTGGCGTAATGTATTTTTAATATATTGTAATATATATAACTATCATATGATTTGTTTGCCTGGACCTTTGACATGTGCATATATATAGATGTAATTATCATAACTATTTTTGTAATCTGATGATATTCTGACGTTGATGTTTAAAATTATTCTTGCCAGTGTGTGACAAATTTTGTTGGAAGTGCAAGACCAATATTTTATGTTAATTTTTTTCAGGAATAAGTTGACAATGATTGCAGAGCCATTGGAAAAAGGACTTGCTGAAGATATTGAAAATGAAGTAGTACAAATAGGATGGAATAGGTAACAACAATACAAACAGATTCATATATTATTAATGCCTTAGGTTTTTCTCAAGTACAAGAAGGCCAACCTCTATGACAAAATTGGGTTGATTTTTGGAGGTGGGTGTGAGCCTATAGAAGGGCCAGAAAATGTAAGCATTAGTGAACCTGCAAGCCTGCATAGGCCGTATAGAGAGTCTCGCCTTGGGATTATGCCTCACAAAAGGAGGTCTGGGTAGCCCAGGTCCTAGACCCCACTTGGGTAAATTCCATAAATACAAAAAGACAGATCATAACTTTCCCTTTGAGCTTTGAAATTATTTTCATGCTATACAATATTTGTTTGGTTAGAAAGAGACTTGGAGAATTCTTCCAGACTAAGTACGACTGGGATTTGTTGGCTGCACGTTCCATCTGGGCCTTCGGGCCAGACACCACTGGACCAAACATTCTTGTAGATGATACATTGCCATCAGAGGTAAGATCTAATGGCTTTTAGTTGTACAGTAGATCAATAACATTGTTATGAATATATTTTCTATAGGCAATTTTTGTATATATTTAAATACTTATAGCAGAGACTTCAAAATTGATTGAGTTTACTTATTTCTTTATAATATGTATAATACTATGTAGTCTGTCTACCTGTACTTGGTATCTGTATATTTTGTCCATAATTTTTTTCTAAAAGTGTATAATTAAGTTTAACTATCTGTTTTGTTTGCGCTTATCTGATGTTTTATCTTGATTAATGTGTGTGAAGGAACATTGGAACACCACCCCCCCCCCCTTCAAATGAATCCTGGCACCACCCTTGTTTTAAATTCATTATTTATTTTACTGTTGTAAAAGGTTCATAACTCATCGTAGTTTGGCAGAAAGGATAGAATTATGTTGTATGTGAATTACTGTACGCATATAAAATTGAGTCTGTTTTATTTGCTCCTAAAGTATATGTTCCATATCCTAATTATTGTGTAGCCAAAATTTAATTGGTATCTTGAAATTCTGTAAATTGCATCATAATTAATCTTTTTTGTTTACTTCCATTTACACTTCAAATTCGTATTCTTGTAATTGTGAATGTATTTAGGTTGACAAAGGCCTTTTGAATTCTGTCAAAGATAGCATCGTGCAAGGTTTTCAGTGGGGAACCAGGGAAGGACCACTGTGTGACGAACGTAAGTATATATTTTCAGTCAATTTCTAGAAGACTATAAGCCTGCATATTGTACTGTAAGTTGGCATCTCTTGAGATGCTGTTTTTATAGTTAATAGAAAAAGGCTGTTCGGTCATAGTCGTTAGTATGGCTATATAGATTCAATGAAAGATTACAATCTTCAATTAGTAACTAGCACAATATAGTTACATTTTATTGAGTCCAGATAAAACAGTTGTTATGTAATATATTTTTTCTCTGAAAAAAATAAAAATTTGACTGGAACTTCCAGCATCAAGTTGATAATACCCGGGCAGGGATTTTGATTCCACACATGCACTTGGGTCAGAATGGACGTAATTCAACAAACCGAAGTATTTTCTTGTATTTAGCTCAAATGCACATATACATTACATCATTTATATAGACGCTTTTTATTACAGATGAGGGCGCTCGAAACGTGGACTATATACCTCAATCAGTAACTTTGTTCTCTCCTAAGAGTCTCTTCATGTCTGAGCTGCCCAATAAACTGACATCGGCTACTCTTGTCTGTCCACAACATGGGCTGTATGGACCAGTACACTGGAATAACCCCCTACTTGTCTCTAAACATGTACTGGGTTCCTTATAGTGTACATAAGCAAATTGTGTACACTGGGCCTACGGTTTATAGTCTTTATCCTCTATAGACTTCTACTTCAAGAACCATAGGCGAGCATGCCGTTCGAATCAGTGCCGATATTGTGGCTGTAGGACTCGCAATATTAATAATTATTGTCTATGTGTTTTTTTAGCTGTTACTGTACTATCTATATATATATATTTTTTTTTTCTAATAGCAATCCGTAATGTCAAGTTTAAGATCCTGGATGCTGTGATTGCATCAGAGCCTATTAATAGAGGAGGGGGACAAATCATTCCAACTGCAAGACGTGTAGCTTATTCTGCTTTTCTTATGGTAATGCATCAACCTTTTTAATGTTTATTGCTTCTATTATTGTTTATTGTATTTATTGTTTAATTTTGATTATTATCTTAAAATATTGTTATTTTTTAAATAATATTTGTAATGTAATGAATTAGAAAGGTAAAAGATAAGTCTTATTTTAATTTGTTTTATTTTGGTTGTTATTCTGTTTTCTGTCATTTGATTGGATTATTTTCTTTGTGTAATTCTTTAGGCTACTCCAAGGTTAATGGAGCCATATAATTTTGTAGAAGTGCAAGCCCCAGCTGACTGTGTCTCAGCTGTCTACACTGTACTTGCAAGGAGAAGGTAGGCTACAATGAGGCTTGATTGTGAATTCAGTAGGTTTAATTGTAAACTATATTTGATAAGAATGAATCTGGATGTCTTTGAATGCTGAAGTGTGAATTACAAAAGCTGATAGAATTTTAACCTCTTGATTTAATAGAATTTAAATTAGCTGTATTGCTTTCCTTGCATAACCAAGATGAATGCTAGCACTTAAATAATACAGAAAGTTTGTACAGTGCAAATACCTATAAGAAAGAAATGCAAAAAGTGCTTTAGAGATCAAGAAATGCTTTAGGAGTTATAAAATATGTAACCAAAGAGAACTGCAAAAAGTAAGACTCTCAGGTTTCGTTGGAACACAATCCTATCTCAAAAAGTACTACCACGAACTAGAGGGCGTCCTTCAAAATAACGTAAAAGGTGTTTGAATCGAACGTATGCTGTGTCAATAGAGTGTGCATGTTAAAGTTTTTAACTCTTATTTGAAATTGAATAGGACACCCCTCTCGCGTGGTAGTACTTTGTTTAACATTTCATTGCTTGCATACAAAATCAGGGCAGTCGATCCTCTTACAATTCTATATTCTTTGAAGCCCGACTCAAAGCTCATCTTTTCTCATCCGTTTACTTATTTTTATTTTTGTTGATTGTTTTTGCTGTTCCTTTTCCTTTGTCTCTTCTTCATTTATCTCTTTTTTCAACTTCTTTTGGACATTTGTTGAAAGCGCATAGGGACCTAGTATTATGCGCATTATAAGTGTACATCCATTAACATTTACCCATTATCAATGTTTTCCAGTGATAGTCGTTGTATGGGGGTATTGTTCAATGATAGATTACAAACTGTAAGCTGTAACTGGCACAATATAGTTACATTTTATTAGTCCAGATAGAACATTTACTATGTAATTTATTGTTTTTGCTCTAAATAAAAGAAAGATAATTGTTTTTTTTTTGTTTTTTTTTTTATGATTTTCTTCTTTTTTTTTTATTTTTTAAAAATGTTTGTCTGTTGTATATTTGTTTTTTCTTATTGATGTCTAATTTTGAGCTCTTTTTTGTATATCCACATTTATACATAAATTTCATTGTTAATCCATTCTGTAAATGGCAGGTTACTTGTTGTTGGGTGTGATTTAAAATAAAATAAAAAAAAGAAAATAAAAAGAATATGGAACTACCAGCAACTCATTGTACATCTAATGCTACAAGTATATGCCCTACATGAAGATATCATGTATGATAATATAAGCCTATTTTATAATTTTATATATAGATTTATAACACTGATGGAGGTATCTCCTATTAAATTTAATACCATGTGATAAATCGAAGTAGTGTTACATAAAATAAAATAGAAACATGTGAACTGGGATAGTGTGGAACTACTAAAATCAAGGGCCTTCACTTCAGGTTAATAATAACTAAGAGATCTGATGAGCTAATAACTCCAATTTTAACTTTAAATACAAAATTAATTAAATTTGTAAAATCTGAATATTTTATCTCTTTTTAGAAGTAGATATCTTAAAAATAATTTCTGTTCTTCACCTTGTTCCATAGAGGGCATGTTACTCAAGATGCGCCTGTACCTGGTTCTCCTCTGTACACCATCAAGGCCTTTATCCCAGCTATTGATTCATTTGGCTTTGAAACAGATTTGAGAACTCACACACAAGGACAAGCATTTTGTTTATCAGTATTCCATCATTGGCAGGTAAATATGTTGAGTAATTATGTAAAGTATGTTCTATATGTTAAGTACCGGTACCTATGAAACTAAAAAAACCTACTCCTTAAACTAAGGCATGGTTGGCCGTTGGCTCCGAAGAGTTCATCCGCCCTTTGTTCAGCTGTTTTTTTTCGTGCTGCTGGGTGTCCATCCACCCTCCCATTGGCAGCCGCTAAAGACCACCAGATGTGTTTGTTGTATGTTGTTGGTATTGTTGCTGCTGTTAGTATAATATTAGACAGAAATATATGTTTTTATAAGAAATGTTGCATGACCCCACCTATTTCCAAATACAGTAGAACCTCGTTTTTACGTACCCCAGTTATACGAACCCTCTGTTTTACGTACGCCTCGTATGGACGATGACGTCATCAAAACACCCCGAAAATATTCAAAACAAACGGCCCTTTTGAGAGCAACCATAAGTAAAAAGAATATAACAATGAACTATCAATAAACAAACCATAATGCAACGTATTTTCATTAAACAGCAACGTTGATTGAGTCTAATACCGGGTTGTTATAATCTAAAACCACGTGAACTGAGTGAGATGAACAACTACCGATGGTGCTCAAAATTATTGCTTTCTTCCTTAGCTTCGTGTGGCAAACCATGGAAGAACTCGTCTGGTCGAATTTTCTACACGAAGCTGAGTAGACATAGTTTCGTATACGAACGCTAATTGGTTGGCTCGCCCAGTGCATAGCACATGGTTGCTGTTTCACGTACACGAACGCTAATTGGTTGGCTCGCCCATTGCAGCGCATATGGGTTTAGTTTTTCTCAACAGGCCCAGACAACACCACATCTCTGTTGTTTAGAATAGGCATGAAGGGGAATTCCCAAGTTATACCTTTGTCGTATAGGTAATCTTACAATATATTCACGTTCTTTATTTTAGTTAAATAAAAGATATAAAGTGATGAATTAATACACTAGACACATGGTTTTATTTGAACACTTTATTATGACATCGTAAAGTGATGAATAAAAACATTAAACACATGGTTTTATTCGTAGGCCTAGAGGCTAGGTCTAGCCTAGGTATCATCGTTCGTTCGTACATACGTTTATTGAGCGTTACGTACGTATTTGGTCAAAGGTTACCACAAATTTAACCCAACCTGTATTTTACGAATCCCCCGATTTACGTACGCCCTCTGGTCCCTACTGTACGTAAAATCGAGGTTCTACTGTATTGAAGTTTAAGTACAATAAGTGAATATACATGTGTATATTTCTAACTTTCTAAACTTATCTTCTTATACAATTGCCTTCTGTTTAAGATTGTTCCTGGAGATCCACTGGACAGGAACATCATCATTCGACCACTTGAACCCCAACCTGCAACCCATCTTGCTAGGGAATTTATGATCAAGACCAGAAGGAGAAAGGTAAGACAAAAAGATTCATTGTTTGATAACATCTAGTTCTAGTCCACAGGTTCACACTTTTACATGGCTAAATGTGCAACAACAGGATTGAATAAAGATGCATTGTAATTTGAAAAATGCTAAAAAAATATCATAGAAATTATTTTTGAAATTTACTTACTCATATTTGAAGTCACATAAAAATTATCAACTCAACACAGAATTTAGTGTATTTAAACAATTTTTACCCATAATTTTATAGCAAAACATGATAGAAACACTTCCAGTTACTGGAAGTGTTATTATTATTATTTAATCATTCAGTATAAAAATCAGGGTACACATTTTTAAAATTCAATGATTTCTATGCTCAAGTTAATAATTTGAATTTTACTGTAAAGTGAGTTTATATAAAATTATTCTTTTGTGGTTTTTGTTGTAATTTGTGGGGGACAATGCATCTTTAAATTGATCTGTGATTTTATTAACTAAAAACTACTGTAATAATCTTTTCATAACTTGTTGCTTTATTTTTGTTTTTCAAAGGGTTTGAGTGAAGACGTCAGTATTAACAAGTTCTTTGACGATCCTATGTTGTTGGAATTGGCTCGTCAAGATGTTGTTCTTAACAATCCTTTGTGAAAAAAAATACTAGACTGTTTTGGACTCTTTACTAGTGAGTGTGATCACAATAATACACTATTTTGGACTAAAAAAAATGGGCAAGCCGTTCTTGTGTACAACAATACAGGTCTCCAATTAAAGACCACTTTTGACACCTGGGTTTCCATGGTCTTTAGCAGCTTTGGTCTGCAATTAGAATAATAAAGATAAAAGGCATTTGTTAATTTGGGACCACAAAAAAGTGGTTTTTGATTGGAGGTGGTTTTTAATTGGAGAAATCTATAATTAGAGCAAGGCCTGTATTACCGTAAGGATGCTCATGCAGTTTTTATAGTACATCCAGGAAATTTCAATGAATATGATGTTTGTAGTAACTAAAGGCAGGGGCATATGCTGGCTTCATCCTTGGTGGGGTGTGTGAAACATTGACAATGCAGAACTGGGTGGGGTGGGGGGTTCGAAAATTGAGAGTGCGGAACTAAATCTCTTCCAATGAAAACATAATGGTCATTTTCAGTATTTTAACTCACTTAGGTGAACTAATTTGCTGCCATTGGGGCAGTGTCCACACCTGTCTCTTATACACATCTAGATGTGTATAAGAGACAGACCCTATGCTATCCAAAGGTGTAGCTGATTGCATTTGTGATCAACTTTCATCTATCAATGATACAAGAGTACACACACATTCTATCTCACCTTCCTTCCCCAGCACACAATTTAGGATCAATGCTGTTTCATTCTTTCTATTGATCTAGAAGTAGAATACTGTATGTGGCAAAGACAAGCCAAACCAGTCACTCGTCGCAAATCGTGTTTCAGAGATAATGGCTAAAATGTGCTGAAATATCAAGATTTTTTAAATCTATTTTATTGGACTAAACTAACATTTATATATCTATAAGTCATGCTATGCTGTTACTTTCCTTATTTTAAATGTTAAAACAACATTTTTTAACCATTTGGTGATGGTTTTGCCCAAAAAGTGTCCAAAATCATAAAATTTGAAGGCTGATTTCTCAAATATTGTTCTTTCAACAGATGTATGTTTAAACTCATGTAACTAAATAACAAAATGTCGGATTTAAATGATTTTTTTTAACCATGTTAGCTCTCATTTTACCCTGTATTAATAACTAAAAAATGATTTTTGCGGCAAGTGACTGGTTTGGCTTGTCTTTGCCACATATGTACTAATGTCATGATAAATGGAAACATGTCACATCTGGAAATCAAAACCATTATTTTATATTAGAATACTATAGTATTTTAATACCCGAATGGCAGAAGATTTAATTGACTAAAGTGGAATGTATGTCAATAATGTTATAATTCAATGTAAATTTTCAGCTGTCTTTAATTAGGTTTTCCCTAAGGCTCTATATATTTGGTACAGTGCCATCAAAAAGTCAAGCAAAAATGCAAAACAGAATCATAATTTATAATTGAGAACAATGGTTGCTTCACTCGCTAGAGGCACTGTTCCAAAGTGGTCCAATGGATATTGTATTGAAATTATAATCTGAAATTCAGGTTTGTCTTGAATTAGCAACTAAATATTGTTACTCAAAATATAACATGCATACTGTATTTCCTTGACCTCTGTTCTCTTATATTATTGCACCAGTAATTGGAGCAAACACTTTAATATTGTAGCATTACGTAATGTTGTTGCAGTAATCAGTGCATTGATGTTTGAACCTACCAACAAAGTACTTATAATAGCAAGATGCGATATACGCTTAACAAATAGAAGCATCAGTATTCAGTAAAAAGAAGCATAAAAAGTAATCATTTTTTAGAGAGGCCATCCTAGTTGTTACCATGACTGTTACAGAATTTGCACACAGATGTGCTGCCTTTTTTTTAACTATCTTTCATGTCAAATTTGAAAAGTAATCACTTTTGCAAGAGGGCTCACTCACTGTGTTATTACAGAATGTGCATGCAGAAATAGCGGAGAATGCTAACTTGTCCTTGCCTATCTTGTCTTTGTCTACTAGTTACCCACTTACAATCTTGGGTGTAGTGACACTGCAGTAGATGAAAACCATTGCCCAAAGACAAGCAAAATGCACAGCGAGAGCTTGAACTGCTAACCTCAAGGTTGAGGTACTCGGAGCTCCAACTAGCTAGAAATGCAGCAAATGCAACACTTGGCAAGAATAGAATTGCCAAGTGTTTAACATTAATTTATCATCATATTTTTGTGATGAAATTTTGTGAATTAGGAATTCAATAAAATGCAAAACAATTAGTCATGTACAAGAAATATAATTGATAGACTTTAAATGATCAGTCTGACAAAAATGAGAGTAGAAAGTGAATTACTGCAATAAAAGTGAGACAGATTAAAAATTTATAAAACACTATGATTAATGCCAAAAAAACCCTATTTTTTCCCCTTCAGGATTAAAACATGTGATCATTTTACCTCTGAGCTGCTCTGTCAACAATATGACTATTGAGATATTATCTTTGATATCTATTGTTTTGTATTGCATTGAATATGTACATTTTTAAGGAAAGTAATAAACATACAGTTTGTAATGAATTTGCGTGAACATTTTTTTTGTTGGTCTTTGTCTCTTTTGTTATAATAATTTGTTGGCATCCAAAAAAATACAGGATGAAAGTGTGTGTTAAAACATAGTTGTTATTGAAAGCTTTGGAATTTGGATCTATTATGCTCAGACTGATATGTCGGTTTCGGACAACAGACAATAGGTAGCCTTTGATTTGTGTGAAGACGCAACCTAGAGCGGAATCACTCATCTTTGACCGTTGTTTTACGTTATCTGCACAACGTAAATTTGACCAAATTGCTCCCTAAAATCCATGTGATGAGAGGAGAGCTTAACGTTCTCGCATGTGCAGATGACTTCTTAATGACGTCATAACGTTCTACGGCATACCGTCGTGCAATCTAAAGCTCCCCTCTGCAGTGTGTATTTTGAAATTTCCAAGAATTACTTTAGTATGCAAGCGAAAGAAAGTGGCATTTCTACACAGTAAATGACATTTATGTTATTTGCAAAACTCATTTAAAGATACTGTATACTCTCTGTCATGAGCTAAAGAATTTTTTTAAAATTAAATCATTTGGATTGCCTAATTTGTGTGAGAAAATTGCTCATAAATGTGTGAGAAAATGTAAAAATCCTTTTTAATTGTACTTGCACCTCATATTTTACATTTCCATTCTTCCTAAGAATAGATATTGTAGTAATATAACTTGTACACACTTTCACACTTAGGTTTAAGTTCAATGTATAGCGCAAATTAAGCACTCCCCCCAAAAAAGCTCACACCTCCCAGGCTCCACCACTAGAAATTTGATTAACAAAAAATTAGGCTAAAGTAATCAGCTCAACGTATTTTTCCAGCTAATACCCCTCATTGAGCTGCCATACATTGATAAGTCTTTGAATCTTCGGCTTTGCCCTCCAGAGTTTACTCAGTTAAAATGTTGAGGAACTTACTATTGATTTGAATATACAATTTACTTTTTATATATTATATATAGGGCTGTAATAATATCAATAAGTAGTCATATTCAAGCCCATTGATGAGAGGAAGGCCATTTATTTTGGTTGACACGAACAACTTTTTAAAAAATGACAATTTCTATCAGATGTGAAGCCAGATGTAATAATAAGCCATAAATATGGCTGAAATGAACAAATTTTAAAAAATGACAATTTCTATCAAAGATGTGATCAGAGATGCAATAATATAAGCAATAAAAAAAAAAATAGGCACTGCCCGGATTTGAACCGGGGATCTCCTGTTTACTAGACAGGCGCTTTAACCAACTAAGCCACAGCGCCGCGGTGATAAACCAAGGAAAATTGTGGGTATAAAAAGAATGATTATATTAAAGGCTGTTTCATTTTGTGCTTAGGGGTAATTGGTTTTTAATTACATATTTCAAATATGACTGTTAATTCATAGGTTTCAAATATTTAGCTTGTTTTGTCACATACAGCATTTTAAAGATATTTAATTGTTTATTTCAATGTTATGAATGTATTCATCAGGCAAGCTTAGGATTTGCTTAAATCCTGTTGTTGTGAATAGTGGCGTCGGCCGCCGACTCGCGGAGCTTACTCTCTGTACAATGGTTGGTTCAATGAAATTCTCGAACTTCTCAAAAAAGTTATCAAAGCAGAGTGTGTTTAGAAATAGCAGATTGTGTTTAGAAATGTTGTGTCGGCAGAGAACGATTGTGTGCTGTTTTCCTAAATAAGGACGAAACCAGTTTTTCTTCTATAACCAGTTTTTAATCATGTATGTATTAATAATTGATTGTTTCCTCATTTGTTTTACATCAGATGGTATATAGGCTAGGCTATTGTAAAGAAAGTAAAAAGTAAGTCAGTGCAAGATCCGGGATATGACTTCTTCGGCCGCCTACACCTTCGGCCGCGCGAGATTTATATGGAGCGCCAGTTGGGCATTTCTCCACACCGCATGCTGTGGCGGCCTTTGCTAAACTACATAATTGCTGTCATGTCGCACAGTAATATTTACGTATTTATTTTAGGTATTGTATGTATATAAATAATTGCTTTCATGTACAGTAGTATTTACTTATTTATTTCAGGTATGTGGATTTCTTTTTAAGTGTCTTACATTGAAAAATTGTAATTCTTCAGAATATTTGTTTTACAGAACAGTATTGTTATTTATTATACAATTTGAAACTGTAGGCCTATAAAGTGTGTTATTTACAAGAGTTGGAAAAAGAAATCTAGAGTAAATTTGTCAATCATTAGTCAATAAAAATTCTTTAGGAATATCTCATGCCCTTAATGTACATACCCTATACTTTATATCATTAAAACCAATCAATTTATTGGTGATTTAAAATTCAGGTCTTTATATTTACATTACTGAATAGTAAACAAGTGCACATGTAAAAAATGAGATCTATAATCGATCGATAACAAGCAATGATGTTTACCTTTAACAATTATCGTCAAAATGTTTAAAAATCTTGCAAATATGTTGCTTGTGTTAACC